AGGACTTTGTGTGAGACTTAAAAACAAAACAAAACAAAACAAAACAACCTGACTCAAGGATACAGATATTCACGGCACTATTCTTTCAAATTTTATATAGGTTGAAAATTTTTCAAAAGTTTATGAAAAACAAACCATGATGAAGGCATTCACTTGAATGGAAAGATTCCCTAGTGTGTTTGTTTTCCACATGTTCGGTACTTATCATCTCAAAGTATGCAGTTGTTCCTCAGCTCAGAAGCCAGAACAAATTCCTAACGGAGCTGATGCTTTTGACTTGACTCATTAACATTTCACAAAACTTATATACTTTTAAGCATTTTCTTAATAATCTCTAATTTTCCCCAATCAAGCAACAGAATAAAACTCATTTCAAGCTGCACTTTGGCCTGCAACTAGGATCTCGGGATAGTTACTACTTCTTGAAACTGTTCAGACATAAGATCATGCAACCTGAGTTAATGCCAAAGTCCTTTCAGTGCTCCTACACCTCTCAGTCTGAAGCTCCTTCTTCACGGACCAGCCTCCTCCTGTTCTAGAACAAGCCAGGCTTGCACCCGCTGGAGGGCCTACTCTCCACAAAACAAGATACACTTCTAACCCAGACATCTCCCCATCCCCAAGGCTTAAAGCCTTCACTGCTGACTTCAAAAACTTTTGTTCAGGGGAAGCTGGGTGGCTCAGTCGTTAAGCCTCTGCCTTCAGTTCAGGTCATGATCCCAGGGTCCTGGGATCGAGCCCCGCATCAGGCTCCCTGCTCAACGGGGAGCCGGCTTCTCCCTCTCCCACTCCCCCTGCTTCTGTTCCCTCTCTTGCTGTCTCTGTCAAATAAATGAATAAAATCTTAAAAAAAAAAAAAAAAGCTTTTGTTCAAATGCCACCTAATCAACAAAGCCCACCTGCTTTATTTAGCAAGGGAACCAGTTCTTCCAACCCACCTATACTCCTGAACTCTTTTATTTGACTGGAATGAACAAATATAGATTTTTAAGTGACAGGTGAACACAAAGACAGGGAGTTGTGGATTTACAAAGTCTATCAGAAAGGAGACCATGAAAGAGCGGTCAGAACCAGAGGAGAGAGCCCGCACACACAGAGGAACCAAAGGAAGCTTCCCCGGCCTGGTTAGCGCAGATCACTCCAGGGCAGTGTGGCCCATATCATGGAAGACAAGGACGTTGCTCAGTGTGACAACTATCATCCACCTTCACCATGTCTTTTCTCTAACCTTTTTGAGGCCTTCTTTTTTTTCCCCCCTTGGGGACAGGAGCAGAGGGACACAGAGAGGATCTTAAGTAGGCTCCATACCCAGCTCAGGACTCTGACAACCCTAAAGTCATGGTCTGAGCTAAAATCAAGAGTCAGAGACACTTAACAGAATAAGCCACCCAGGTGCCCCTGAGACCTTCCCTTTTAATCGTTTATAAATCTAGGTGACCTGGGCCCAAGATACTTCATTCTTCCCTCAGGGAGCATAACTGAAAAGTTGGAGGCATAACCAGTTACATAGGTTCTCAGCACAGTCTATCATCTTGTTTTTACTACTTTTAAATTTTTTTAAAGATGTATTTACTTGCCAGAGAGAGAGCACAGGAGAGAGAGCATAAGACCACAAGAGGGGGAGCTGCAGGCAGAGGGAGAAGAAGGCTTCCCACTGAGCAAGGAGCCCCATTCGAGACTCATCTCAGGATCCTGGGATCATGACCTGAGCCAAAAGCAGATGCTTAACTGCCTGAGGCATCCAGACGTCCCATTATTTTTAACTTAGTATTTCATACAGATTTTCATTTTTCTACTTGTATTTCAGATTCTGCATAAGTAGGATGCTAATGACTCTAGCAGATTAAGGCTGCTTACAAATTTATTTTTTTCAAAATTTTTAAAAATTTATTTTTTCTTAGGCTTCCAAACCGTATTTTATATTTTTATTTTTTGCAAACAATATTTTAAAATCATAAACCTCCGAGGTTTACAAAGCTCTTTTGCATCTGTTTTCCCATTTAATCACCCTGCATGTTAAAGTGGTATCAATCTCCTGAAAAGGTCTACAAACGATGCAGAGGTCCTAAGTAAACACAGGGGACACAGCATCCTTTAGTCCAGCACCCACCATGCAGAGGGTGGGGACACAGTGTGGTGAGTGAAAAGGCAGCCACTTCAGCTGTCCTCTTACTTGGATGCTATTTCCCATGGCACTTCCCTTTACAAGAGGCCAGAGTAATTAAACCCTTAAATCAGGTTAATTTAATTAGTGATTTTCCACAAATGAACAGCAACTCTAAACCTGCAAGGGCATTTTAAGTAGCAGATTAACTATCAGAGTAAAGAAGAGATACACCCCGCTCCCACCCTCTCCCCTCCTCAGCACGTGAAATGACTGCGCGGCACCTGATCAACCCTGAGATCCAACCTAAAAACCTCACACAGTTCTTAGACAGCCGCCAACGACCCTGGTGACCACTCTGTGCTCCCCCGGCCCCATCTCACCCCTCACCTGACTAACAAGCCCACACGCTACTCCTACAGCTCAACTCCCGGGCTGTGCTGCACCTGGACGGCTAATCCGGGTCACGTACTATCAAGTACATCAAGTCACCCATCACGGGCTTTTGGGATTGGTGAGCACTGAGCCCTTCTGACAGCTCAAACCACTCCAAGTAAAGTTAATTTCCCTCCTCCTAAATACATCTACCCTCAATCATTATGGTGCAAATTCCTTGTTATGAAATTTGTATTTGAATTAACTGTTCCTGAGGTTCTCAAACAACTACAAACAACTGTGAGATTTGGAAACCCTAAGCATCCCATTAGAAATGGAGTCCTTTATTCCTTATTGCTTATGGAACAAGCAAGCCTTCAGTACTCTTGCAATGAAGAGAGCAAAAGTGCAAGATCACATGGATATGGTGATTATGCACATCCTGAAATCAGAACTGAAGTGTGAGACTGTACCAAATGACTGAACCAAAGGAAGAACAGCTTGTCAAAATGCCCAGGGGCAGATACGTAGAGAGTAGTAAGGAAACTGTGAGAAAGAACAGTAAACAAGAAGCAACCCAAGGAAGAAGTTAACAGAGAGGTGGGCAAAAGCCAGATCTGCAAGATAAAAATATGTGTGAAGTGCCTCCTGTGGGCAACGAGAAGCAGTTTTGTTCTGTTGTTTTGTGGGAAAGGACACCTATGTTTAAAAAAAAAAAAAGACTTCTCTACTGCCCAGTGGAAAATAGATGGTCCAGGTGAGTGATTATGGTAGTTTGGATTAGAGGGTAGTCATATACAAGTAAGGGAACGTATGACAAAGGTGATTTTTTTTTTTTAATGTACAAAACATGGTAATTTTTTTTTCAAAACATGGTAATTTTTACCATTATGTACTAGGTTTTCTCTTACAGTATTTCTTGTAATTCTACATGTGACTGCAAAGCATTAATGCAATCCTAGACAAAAGGTTCCAAACTAGGAGCTTGGGGGGGGTGTCAAATGCAGACGTGTTTTGGCCACAAAGTTTACTTTCTTAAAACTTGAGTTAATATGGCATCTAAAAATCAGTATTTCCAATTCCTCTTGAAAAACACTAGATCTAGTGAACAACTGTTGGCTAGTGGCAACTGGCTAGAGCACAGGCTTTCTAGTTTCCCCCAATCGCCACACCCAGCACCTTTGACTCGTTCATACTACCTGCTAGAAAAAGACTTCACTTTTTCCACTCTTCCATTCTGGCACTTTCACTTAGGGGTGCCAGAACCCCTTGTTCAAATAAAAGTATCCCAATCTGGATCTTAGAACAGAAAGGCAGGTTCATCTCATCTCACCTCAACACAATTTTGATCAAGAACTGGTTTTAAGGGGCGCCTGGGTGGCTCAGGTCATGGTCTCAGGGTCCTGGAATCGAGCCCCACATCGGGCTCTCTGCTCAGCAGGGAGCCTGCTTCCCCCTCTCCCTTTGCCTGCTTCTCTGCCTACTTGTGATCTCTGTCAAATAAATAAATAAAATCTTTAAAAACAAAACAAAACTGGTTTTAAATAGCCATCACCAGTGATTAGCACCAAAACCCAAGGGTCCAGGCACAGAAACAATTCCATGCTGATACAACCAAACCAGAGAGGACAAAAAGGACAACACCTGCATGGTCTCAACAGCCCTGTCCCAGCACTCAGGCTTCCTCACTCTGCACATGAAGAAGCCACACAAGTACTGTCAGAAGCTCTGGGAGGGCAAGAACCTGTCCCTCCTCCATCCAAACCTCTGCCAGGCACTCCAACAGGAGCTCGGCATCTGGCCATCTATGATACACTTATAAAGGAAAATTCTCAATCCGACGACTTTTCATCCCACTAGAAAAAGACATCTGTAATTACCACGGGATGAAGGAACGTCATTTACAACAAAGGCGATCTCCAAGGTGCTGAGTGTGTGTCCACTTTCTCACATCTGAATAGTTTCGGGACTGGGAAACCTGCGTCTCTGCCCCTTCCACCTCATTTTGCCTCCTCTTCAGCCTCACTCCACTTCCATCCCGACCAGGATTAACCAGATACAGCTATCAAAACACTAACTCATTTTAGGGATCAAAAATAATTTGTAGAAGAGCTTCGTAAAGTTTGGCAACTAGCAAAGTCAACCACAAACCCATCTCGCAAACCCAACCATATATAATTTTCTGGGCAAAATTTCCTCTTCAGGGCCTTTCCACCGGAGCCAGTTTCCACCATCCCCGCACGCCCCAGCTGTAGGGCCTCAGCCGCGGGAAGCCGCTCCACCCCGCCCTCACCCTCACTTTCAGAACCGGGAACAACAAAAACCTCAGCGGGTTTTCCTCCCGTGGGGTTGCAGGAGAAAGGCACGGTGCCTGGCATACACTCAGCATCCAGCTTGGCAGCTCCTGTCAGCATCCTCGCCGTCGCGGGCGGTCTGGGCCGGGCCACGGGGGGCGGACCGGCACTCGGGGAGGGTCGGCGGGGGGGTGGGGGGAAGGGCCAGGCAGGCGCGGCTCACTCACCTGCAAGCGGACGTTGAGCATCATGGAAGCCACGATGTAGAGGTAGGGGAAGTTGATGCGCAGCCGCCAGGCCAGGTCGAAAAAGATGAGCAGGGTGCGGGTCAGCCCCTTGCAGAAGACCCCATAGGAGCGGGCGGCGGCCGAGCGCGAGAGGCGGACAGCCAGGCCCGACAGAGCAGCCGCCATATAGACCGGCGCCCGCCGCCCACCCGCCGCGCACCGACCGGCCACGGACCCGGACCGCCCGGAGCTCCGAAGCCCGCCCGCCCTCTCGGCGCCGCGTCGCCCCCGGGCCTCCGCCCCGGCCGCTGGGCCGCGCTCGGCGCACTGAGGGAGCGAGGGAGGCGGTGGCGAGGTCGGGGGCGGGCGGGCGGCGGGGAGGGTAGTCCGCGCGTCACACTCCGGGAAGCGCCTCCGCGAGCCGCCGCCTGGTCCAAGCAGGGCCGCGGGGCCTGACGTCACAATGCCCGCGCCGCGCCTGCGCACCTCTGTCCCGCCCCCTACCCCGCCCCCTGTCACCTTCCGCAGGTGAGACGCGCATGCGTGGGCGAGGTGGGGGCGGGATGCTCCGGCAGAGCCGCGGATGCGTTGTCTCGGTCTGCCCCCTAATGGTCAGGCGGAAATTTAAAACAAACGAGGAGGTGAACAGTGAATTTGAATTACATTATACAATGTCAATGTCCTTAACAACGAGGAACTGTACACTTAAAAATTGTTAAAATAGGCAGCTCTTTTTGCCCACGGGTCCTTTCCCGTGCTTTAATCAAACTACCTTTTTGCACCTAAAAAAGTCAATCAAAATAAAAACAGTTAAAGTAGCAAGTTTGATGTTATATATATCTAACCAGAATTATAAAAAGCAAACAAAGGGAGGCTTCCTGGGGCGGAGGGGCAAAACAGGCTCCCCATGTAGATGGTTTCAGGACCCCTGCCATTGTTGTTCAGTGTTGACTTATGTAAAATTTAATCTTTAATAATTACGGTATTAATTGCGTTGCTAATATAAAAAAAGCAAAAATATTGACACTTCCAAAACTTCTAGTATTCTGTGTTTCGGGTTTTTTTTTTTCTTTTTGACAATCAGTATTTATATCCCTACTTCAGCATATACGTTTCTATCAAAGATTTGCATTGTGAAGGTAGATACATTATGTCTATACATTTTATCTAGTCTCCAACAAAGCATTTAATGTCCTTACTTTTGACCATCACTGAAAGTCTGGGAATTTGGTACCAGTGAGGAAAAAAGAGTTTCATTGATGAAATTAAAAGCAGATCTTAAGTCTTTTAAGAAAACAACAGTGTGAAAAATTGACTTAAATGTAAAAATTTTTTGCTCTAAAATGGATTTGCATAATAACAATCATTATTGCATTAAATAACTTTTAGAAGTCATTTAAGGGGAGCCTCGAGGTGCAGTCGGTTGGGCATCTGACTCTTGGTTCACCTCAGTCCTGGTGTCCAGTTGTGGTCTCTGGATTGTGAGATCCAGTCCTGAGCACTGCCAGGAGTGCTGAGTCTGCTGGGGTTTCATTACCGCTCCCTCTTCCCCTCCCTCTCATGATTTCTCTCTTTCTAAAATAAATAAATAGAACTTTAACTTAAAAAAAAAATCTGGGGCGCCTGGGTGCCTCAGTGGATTAAGCCTCCACCTTCAGCTCAGGTCATGATCTCAGCGTCCTGGGATCAAGTCCCCCATCAGGCTCTCTGCTCAGCAGGGAGCCTGCTTAACCCTCCTCTCTCTGCCTGCCTCTCTGCCTACTTGTGATCTCTCTCATCCTGTCAAATAAATAAGTAAAATCTTTAGGGAAAAAAAAAAAAGAGCACCTACGTGGCTCAGTCAGCTCAGCATCTGCCTTCTGCTCAGGTCATGGTCCTGGGGTCCTGGTATGGAGTCCCATCTTGTGCTCCTTGCTTAGTGGGGAGTCTGCTACTCCCTCTGACTGCTATTCCCCCTCCTTGCATTCTCTTTCTGAACAATAGAGAATATCTTTATTAAAAAATAAAATCTTTATTAAAAAAATAAAAATAAATAAATAAATAAGTAAATTTCTCTACCCTGAAAGAAATTCACATTCAAAATCATTAAAAATATTTTTTCACTTTACTCATCTAGAATCCAAAGATTATAAATCACAGCGGACACTATCAGTATTGTCATTATGACTATTATTTAGCATTATCATTTTTATTTGAATATCTACTGCATAAAAATTGTACTTTTTGGCAGGAGGCGATTGGTTGGCTCAGTTGGTGGAATATGGGACTCTTGATCTCAGGGTTGTGAGCTCAAGCCCACCTTGGATATGGAGATTACTTAAAAAAATTTTTTAGGGTGCCTGGGTGGCTCAGTGGGTTAAGCCTCTGCCTTCGGTTCAGGTCATGATCTCAGGGTCCTGGGATCGAGCCCCGCATCGGGCTCTCTGCTCAGCAGGGAGCCTGCTTTCCCCTCTCTCTCTCTCTGTCTTCCTCTCTGCTTACTTGTGATCTCTATCTGTCAAATAAATAAAAATCTTTAAAAAAAACTTTAAGGGGCGCCGGGGTGGCTCAGTCGGTTAACCGGCTGCCTTCGGCTCAGGTGGTGATCCCAGGGTCCTGGAATCGAGCCCCACATTGGGTTCCCTGCTCAGTGGAGAACCTGCTTCTCTCTCTGCCTCTCCCTGCCACTCTGCCTACTTGTGCTTTCTCTCCCTCTCTCAAATAAATAAATAAAATCTTAAAAAATTTTTTTTCTTAAGTCCTAAAAAAAAAAAAAGGAAGAATTGTACCTTTTAATTCTCATAATACTGTATTTACTATCCATTGTCTTTCCAGCCAAGACCATTTTAAATATTTCAGGGTTTTTACCTTTTGGCTCATTTTGTTGTTATTAAAATAATATTTTTCAAAGTATGTGCGCTAATCTTTAGTTCCCCTTATTTTTGCAGCATTAGACATTGCCACATTTATTGCCTCTGTAAAAAGCTCACTTCCCTTTTTTTGGAAGCTATTTTTTTTCTCTCGACGCTCAGTGGATGCTATCTTTGAGGATACAGAACACATGCTCCTGAATGAGCAACGTCATTCAAGCTATCTTCCCAAAAAGCAAAACGAATGCTTCTCCATACAGTATTTAGAAAAATAATCTAAAGATTTTTAAAGGCTAGAGTCTTCAGTGGAAATTTTGCCAAAGACACAATGTGTGAACAGGTTTCAAGATCAGCCGAATTTATTCTTAGTCTGTAAAGATTTTCACTGGTGGAGATTTGGCAATGCTATTTATTAGAAGCATGTTGAAAAGACCAGATGGCCCGCAAGGATGTGAGATGTGTGTGTGTGTGTGTGTGTGTGTGTGTGTCCTTCCTGGTTTCTCATTTCTTTTTCTCTAAATGCCATTGAGGCAATGGGGCATTTTTCTTTAAAGATTATATTTATTGGGGCACCTGGGTGGCTCAGCCGTTAGGCGTCTGCCTTCAGCTTGGGTCATTGTCCCACAGTCGTGGGATCGAGCTCTGCATCAGGCTCCCTGCTTGGCGGGAAGCCTGCTTCTCCCTTTCCCGCTCCCCCTGCTTGGGTTCCCTCTCTCACTGTCTCTCTCTGTCAAATAAATAAATACAGTCTTTTTTAAAATCTTTTTTTTAAAAAGACTGTATTTATTTATTTGAGAGAGAGAAAGAGAACGAGCAAAAGCAGAGAGGGAGAAGCAGACTCCCCTCTGAGGAGATAATCTGACACAGATCTTGATCCCAAGACCCTGAGATCATGACCTGCTGAAGTCACTAACGACTGAGCCACCGAGGCGCCCCACAAAGAGGCATTTCCTTTTTTTTTTTTAAAGATCTTATTCATTTATTTGACAGAGATCACAAGTAGGCAGAGAGGCAGGCAGAGAGAGAGGAAGGGAAGCAGTCTCCCTGCTGAGCAGAGAGCCTGATGTAGGACTCGATCCCAGGACCCTGAGATCATGACCCAAGCCAAAGGCAGAGGCTTAACCCACTGAGCCACCCAGGCGCCCCCAAAGATGCATTTCTAACAAGCTATACAGTTGCCATAAATAATGGCAAACATCACCACAAAACTACACTGAGCAAGGTAAAAAACCTTCTGTTATTAGCCATCATGGGAGGTCAGAGAGAACACGAAGGAATGCTAACAAGATTTGAGTTTTACTATATATCAAGGTTAACTGGTTCTGAGCCTTAGAGCAGGCTGGTAAATTAACATTTAACTCAACCCCAATTTTCTGGTATCTCCGGGAAGACATCCTGCTAATTATAATTTGAGAACCAGGCAGAATTAACTATAAGTCAGTGTGGAACGTATTTTCGTGGAGGTCCATTAGGGTTATAGGAGAAGAGAGGAGAAAAGATGCCAAGGCAAATAGGAAAATGATTTTTTGAAGGCTTGATCAGGGGGACCCAGGTCATTTGCCTACAGTCTTCCTTCCTGCGGTTAGAACAACGACTCAGGTGAAAGAAATCTCTTTTTTTTTCTTTCCAGCTTCACCTGATGAGAAAAGCACAGAGATACAAGGTTCCACATTTGGCATCTACTTTTAGCTCCCTGATCTGGTTCTGTAAAATGAGGATAAGGACACCCATCCTACAGGGTATATGTGAGAAATAAATGAGAGCAAGCATGCCCAGCCTCAGGCGCTGTCCTAGGCGGATAGAGGGCACCCGGAAAATCATAGTTATTTCCATGCTCAGGGCCCCGGAGTCCTTAGAATGCAAGTTTGGTGGCTCCATTAATAATAATTTTAGGGGTGCCTGGGTGGCTCAGTGGGTTAAAGCCTCTGCCTTTGGCTCAGGTCGTGATCCCGGGGTCGTGGGATCAAGTCCTGCATCGGGCTCACTGCTCCGCAGAGAGCCGGCTTCCTCCTCTCTCTCTGCCTGCCTCTCTGCCTACTTGTGATTTCTGTCTGTCAAATAAATAAGTAAAATCTTTTAAAATAATAATTTTAATTAGAGGCACCTGGCTGTTTCAATCGGCAGAACATGTGACTCTTGACCTCGGGTTCCTGCATTCACGCCCATCTTGGGGGTAGAACTTCCTTAAAAAGAAAAAAAGAGATTTCCATTTTGAGGCTCTCGACATAATAAAAAGTAAAGAAATGAAAAAATAGGCGGTTGCCAAAAACATATACCTATAGTAACCAAGAAAAAAATCGTTATAATTAATAATATTTCACTCTGGATCACAAGCGACCGGAAGAGTGAGACACCTTGATTATGTTGCTGGAAAAGAGGATGGACACAAATGATCCAAAGTGTTGGTCAGAAATCCTTGATATTCCTTTGCTCCTTCCCATGGAAACTTGGAAGGGTGGGGAGGATTTAACCATGAGAGCTTAGTTGCCATTGTAAGAAAATTCAAGTTTCCGGTCTCGCACTGAAGGGTCCTTTTCAGGCACTCACATTATTTCAACAGGTTAAGGTGAATGTGAATCAATGACACAGTGCTGGCTAGTACGGAGTCATGTGAAAAAAGATAAGGACAAAAGTATGCACAGAGAGGGTGCCTGGGTGGCTCAATGGGTTAAGCCTCTGCCTTCGGCTCAGGTCATGATCTCAGGGTCCTGGGATCGAGTCCCACGTTGGGCTCTCTGCTCAGCAGGGAGCCTGCTTCCCCCTCTCTCTCTGCCTGCCTCTCTGCCTACTTGTGATCTCTCTCTCTGTCAAATAAATAAATAAAATCTTAAAAAAAAAAAAAAGGTACGCACGGATATGTGTGTGCACGTGAATATATATATATAAATAAACACACACATGCATATTTGCATGTATGTACACATATATAAATGGGTGTGTATACATGTTTATACATATATATACATGTATGTGGAGTGGTTGGGGATCTTTTGTTTATTCCCTAAATAAATGGATAAACCATATATTTGGGGTTTTTTTTTAAAGATTTTATTTATTTATTTGACAGACAGAGATCACAAGAAGGCAGAGAGGCAGGCAAAGAGAGAAGGAGAAGCAGGCTCCCTGCTGAGCAGAGAGCCTGATGCAGGGCTTGATCCCAGGACCCTGGGATCGTGACCTGAGCCAAAGGCAGAGGCTTTAATCCACCAGCACCCAGGAACCCCTGTTTTATTTTTTTTTTTAAGATTTTGTTTATTTGACAGAGAGACATACAATGAGAGCAGGAACACAAGCAGGGGGAGGGGCGGAGGGAGAAGCAGCCTTCCCGCGGAGCAAAGAGCCCAACATGGGGCTGGATCT